TTTAAAAGACAGTGGTGAGGCCAGCTATATTGTATGGTCTGGAGACAGTGACATTGACAAAAAGACAGGAGAAAGAAATGGAAGTGGCAGAAATGAAGATGTTATGGTTCTCCTTAGGAGTGACAAGGCTAGATAAGATTAGGAATGAGATCATCAGAGGTACAGCACAGGTCGAACAACTGGGAGATAAAGTTAGGGAGGCCAGACTGAGATGGTTTGGGCATGTCAAGAGGAGGGACTGTGGGTATATTGGTAGAAGGATGTTCGAAATGCAGCTGCCAGGAAAAAGACAAAGAGGAAGGCCAAAGAGGAGATATATGGATGCAGTTAGAGAGGACATGAAGGTAGCTGGAGTGAGGACAGAGGATGCAGAGGACAGAGGGAGGTGGAGGAGGATGACTCGCTATGGCGACCCCTGAAGAGGGAAAAGCTGGAAGAAGAAGAAGTCTTCAACAGATATCTCAGTGGTGAAACAATGGTACAACAACAACACCATGCCGGACTCAGCCTTCCAGCTTGACAACAGGCTGCTGATATATACCAACAGACAACCTGATATATACCCAGTTCCCAAGATTACAGTGACACCCTCAACAGGTAAAGCAGAACACACACCCATCAAACAGTTCTGAATGCAACTTAAGTTTATGCATTGAAACATTAAAACAGACATGTCCATGCCCATCATAGGTATAGAAATCCTTATGCCAGTCTTGTATGAAAACTGTAAAACTGATGGGAGAATGAATGAATCTTATGCTCCTGTCTCATGTACTGTAATACTGTAACAGGTACAGTAACATAACATCACTCCCCACCGATGAAACGTGTCCTTGTGTCAGAAATGGTGTGTATAAACTCAAATCTAATGTTTCTGTTGAAGAGAGTTCTACACCTAGCTTATTTGAAGTCTTCAACATGGGAAACGTAGTATTGGGGCAGCAAGTGCAGCTGGCTTGAGCTGTGATTCAGTCTTTTTAGATTTCAATACCCAGCAGCCTTTTTTTTTTTCCAGTGACCCTCAGTATGGCAGAAATTAAAAATGTTTTATAAGCCATGAGTACTATGATCAACTCTGCGGTCTACACATAGGCGTAGCAACCATTATATGTGAAGGAAACGTGTGTCCCCCACATAAAAAAAAAACGTTCATTTGGACCCCCCCTCACACTTTTACTATGAAACATTAGTTCTGTTGGCGATGTTTCTCTTTCTTTGTGAACAAATCCATTCCACTTGATCAATAGGAGAATACTCAAACCACTAAAACTCCACTCCAGGTTTTTCTGGTTACCTCCAACCAGAGCCCTATAAAGAAAAACTCTATATGGTGCCGCTGCAGCTTCGTCTCCTCCTGCCTCGGCAGAAAACGCTCACAGGTGGAGGAGATGGAGACACTTCTGTGTTGCTCGCTCACCAATTTAGCGAGCTTAGTGCGGGCAGTTGTTGACTGTGTGTGTGTGTGGGGGGGGTGTTGATCATAAACTATTCATGTTAGGAGGATGCTTGAGAGGAGCGCTACATCTGTAGCATCTTATCTTAGCAGTAACTGTGACGCTGTAAGACGCTGCAGGTGTAAGAGACGTTGGGTGTTCAGGTGCAATAAAGTTGAAATGTCTTTAAAACCCACCGCTGAATTTACACAAACTTAGTGAGAAACATGCTTTAAACAAACATGCTTTAAAATGAATTAAAGTAAGGAATCTAGATGAAATGTTGCTTTTTTGTACACTGGTGCACGTACACGCGTACGCACACACGTGTGTGCACACACACACGTGTGCACACACACACACTATAGTGTCCCCCCCACATTACAGATGCTTCTGATGCCCATGGCTCTACACAAGTATAAACAGAATGTCCAGTAAAAATCACAGACTTCTTTGTGTCAGACCAGGTACCTCATGTACAAAGGGTGCATATGCACAAAACGTGGCATACACCAAACTTTCATGATAAACTTCAGATGTATCAAGATTGAAATGACAGTGGAAATGTATAAAGGCTCTTGACAACTTCATGGCTGATTTACACGTTTCTAGGTCACTGGTCTATTGGCAATACTTAGAGGTGATACTGGGAAACTTGATAATGTGAAAACTATTATTGTACACACCAGACACACGATGTGCGTACAATACATTCACATGTATGCAATTAGATGAGTGGATATAAAAGCATGTGCAAAGTGGTGCAGAAAATACTTTAAACAACAATGGTTTTAGACTTATTAGAGGATATAGCAAATGGCGCAATACGCAGAGAGCATGTATTTAGAAACAGAGAGGATTTTCTGATCCACAGTGATGACTGGCTCCTCAGCCATTTTAGGCTTCCAAGGCCAATCCTTTTGGAACTGTGCTTGAAGCTGCGGCCACTCTTAGAGCATGACACAGTGAGGAGCTGTACACTGCCTGTATGACCACAGTGGGGTTCCTAGCAACTGAGGCATTCCAGGGGAGCTGGCAGACCAATCAGGACTGTGCCAGACTACCGAGTCCGTCTGAGCTGAGCCATGCTAAGTGTATTGGATGGATTTATCCATGTCAACCAGGTATGTCAAATTCCCTACAATGCAGTTGAACAGGCCGACATTAAAGCACAATTTGCATTGACAGCTGATTTTCCTAAAGTAATCGGAGATATCAACTGCATACACATTGCTATAAAAGCACCATCACAGGATGAAGATGATCATGTTAACAGGATGCATTTTCATTCAGTCAGTGTGCAAATTGTATGTGATGCTCAAAGGCAACTAACCAGCATTATAGTGAGGTGGCCTGATTCAACGCACGATTCATTACTTCTAATGAACAGCACGGTTGGGAACAGACGACAAGCTGGCACAGTGTGGGATGGGTGGCTTCTTAGTGAGTAAATTCTTTTAATTGTCCTAATATCCATCCATCCATCCATCCATCCATCCATCCATCCATCCATTATCTTTACCTGCTTCTTCCTTTTTGGGTCATGGGAGTCACTGGTGCCCATGTCCTGCTATCACCGTGCGAGATGTGGGGTACACCCTGGACAGATTGCAAGTCCATCACATGGACACATAGAGACAAATGAGACAAACAACCATTCACTCTCTCACTCACACCTAGGAACAATTTAGAGTTACCAATCAGCCTAACATGCATGTTTTTGGTCTGTGGATGTCCTAATATGTCTGATCATTTTTTCTACTTTCTGAGGGTATGCGATGCTCTAACCCCACATCAATTACAGCTTTGCTCACATTGTCCCACTAACTCCTTTTGTGCTTGGCTCTAATGCCAGAGGAAATCGTGCCAAACAGGATGTTTTTACGCGCCTCTACCTCATTTAGAAGTGTCTCCATCTCACATTCCATGAAGTTCTTCTTTCCCCCGTAGGTAGACATGCTTTTCGATAGTGCAGAGAGGAGATTCCTCAGGTGTAGGGCATATTTAAATCTATCTGCATTTTTAAATGGAGGTGTGAATGGATGAGTTGGGTGTTCCCTCATGTGCGCTCATTTCCACACGTACAAAGGAAGTTGCTCTTGGATTCAAGTGTATGCACAATTTCATACATTTGGATTTATTTGTGCATACGCCGCTTTCTCGATTTAAGGGTGCACCATGTTTCAGTAGGAAATCCAAGAAAGTCGCTGTACATGAGTCCCCTGAAGATTTAACTCCCCTACAGACATAATCAACAAAATTAGCCATGTACCAAAGTATGGCTAAAACAAGTTAAAGAACTGAAGTGTTGACAATAAATGTGCCAAACCAACCACAAATTAAACTAAACTCCTCTCTGTATGCCTACTAATCTACCTAAATCAACCCTAGTCTTCAGAGATCAAGGCTGGTGGCTATTTATGCACTGAGTATACCAGTAAGGTCACGTTTTATTATTATACTTTATATACCAGAAGTATGATAAGGTGTTCAGTAGGCTGGCAACATTTCAAAACTATGGCTGTGCCCCCAAAACAACAGCTCCAACCTCACACTAACACGTGCAGGCACACAAATCTTTAAAGACGGAGCTATGTTGGTTATATGTAGGAGAAATTTTGGTTATTATTTGTACATCCAATTTAGCCAACACTCCATGGCATGTTAGAGAAATGGGAAATAGACTATTTTATTTAAAAAAAATAAGTAAATTATCCAAAAATAAATACACAAACAAATAAATAAATCTTTCCCATGAGAGCTTCCCAAAAGTTTATACTACTCAAATTTCTACCATCCTCCCTGTAGGCAAATAAAGGAGCAAAGAAATACTGTCTACCAATGTTTGTTCTGAAAAATATCACCAACACCGTAACACCAATTGGACAAGCTTTGTTATGGCCTAGCTCAAAGACCATAACAAAAAAGGGGAAGCATGCAAGAATATTCTAAAAAATGTTTTTTTTTTTTTTTTTTTTAACTAAACCTAAAATTATCACCAGGAAAGGAAAATGATAGATCTGCCTTATTGAATAATTTAATTATCCAGTAAGTGAAAACATCCATGACCTTTACATAAAATTCCCCCAACATGCCTCTCTCTGAAAGAGGTACTCTTTAAATGAACCCCACTGGAGGCTTTGGCCAGCTGTCTCCAGTTAGCTCCCAATTACCTGTGGAACCTGAAACATCCAAACACGCACACAGACAGGAACCCAGGGAATAATGCCTGGGGTCGTAATAGTTAAAGGGCCTTGAAAGATCTAAGGCCTAATGAAAGGTTCATTAAAATCCATCCAGTGTTTTATGAGATATTCTGCTAACAGGCACGAAGAGTTTAAACCAGATTAACTGCAAAAATGTACAACAAATGCATTTGTTTGAGTGTCAGATTTCCCTCTTGTCCAGTCTAATTTATCTCCAAATAGTTAATGACATCAACCTGTAAAGAAAATAAAAACTTTGCATATTAAAGAAAAGCACAATCTACCTTTCACATTACTGTAATCAGATGTGAAGTACTTGAGGACTGTTTGAGTTCTGAATTTATTCAGGCAGGAAACATGGTCAGGAGGTTTATTCCCGTGGTAACTGATGCCATTAAAGGCTCTACATTTTGCACCATATGGAAAATCCACACAAAACTCAACTTTCAGCGTTTGATAGCAATGGTCAGCCCATCCCCCACAGTGAGCATGCTCAGTTCAATTCTCTGGTCATTGTGCAGCTTCTTATTGAGAGCATCCAGACTCTTGGACGTGAGATCATCAGGGGCAGGATGCACCACCCTTCCACTCCACAGCACCTTCAAATGCAATAACAGTAGAGCTGGTTTTGCTCTGATCATTGTAAAAAACACGAACTGATCATATGAGGTTTGCTTACGTTGTCAATTGCAATTACCCCTCCTTTTCGTAAGAGCTCCAGGGACTTCTCGTAGTATCTGTCGTAGTTGAATTTATCCGCATCAATGAACACAAAGTCATATGTTCCAACTTCTCCCGCTGCTATCAGTTCATCTGATGAAAGCAGAAATTAAATATTAAATTCAAGCCTTTAGGAAATCACTGATAGGATTGATAAAAGTACCTACTCAGAGTTTTCATGGCTGTCTGATGTCGTACATCGATCTTATTTTCAACTCCAGCCTACAGAAAAAAGGCAAAATGAGAGTGTGAGCAGGTCAGAAACCTTCGTCAGAGAGAATGTGTGCAAAGTGTTAAACACCTATTGATTTTACTGCTTTGCTTTGCATCTTTTTGTGACACAGTTTCCTGAGCAGACATCTTTAAACTGTCCAGCCGGCAGGATTTTTGGAAACAAACCGACAGTAGCAAAATGTTCAGAAAGGTGTTGGTGGTACAAATTAAATCCACGACAGGCTACAATCAATCTTTAAAAGAAGACGAAATGGGGAAAAAAGCCATATGTGCAATTAACTGGCACTTGTTTTTTTCTGTACTGGTACCAGAACTATCATTTATTGTTATTATTTTTTGGATGACTGCACACAAAGTTTTATCATTGATCTCACCTCTTTGAAGAAAGGCTTGGCGATTTCCATGTAGGTGTCTTCTATTTCACAAGCCACAACTCGGCCAGTCTCCAGCATGGCCAAAGCCATACTCAGAGCATTGTATCCTGTGTACATGCCTACATGACAAATGCTGTGAATGATTACAATTTGCTTGTTGATATCTATCTATCTATCTATCTATCTATCTATCTATCTATCTATCTATCTATCTATCTATCTATCTATCTATCTATCTATCTATCTATCTATCTATCTATCTATCTATCTATCTAT